TTTTTTACAAATCGTATCAACCCGGGGGGGGGGGGAGCGAGTTCAAATTATGTTTGGAACGTCCGTTCGTCGAGTAGAATTCTGAAATGGTAACGTCTGCTCAGTCGACTGTAAGCTCATTTCAAATTGTTTGTGCGGACCCGTGCTCTTTCTTGCCACACACCTTGCCCACAAGCACCTCTTTTCCCACAAGCACTCTCCCTCCTCCTCTAAACCACAAATGCAAACTTCTCTTAGTGAAGATATCAAAGTATGAAATTTTAAAAAATAGTGAAGGGTTATTCCGAGACCCGCATTTGCCTGAGGATGGTCAAGTGAAGTTCTTGTATGTAACATTGTACCCGTCAAAACCCCCGAAAGACAAAAATCGAACGGGAAGAAAATAAATAAAAAAAGTAATAATCACGATCACTGATATCGGAATATCAAATAAATTTTAAAATTATTTTATACAACACATTTATTGGATTGAATGAATTTAAGTTTTGCCTTCTTACCAATATTTCTAAAGCATTTCCATACTGATTTAAGAGACCAGAATATTTATTTTAAACTAGTGGTGATAAAACCGCACGTAGTTTTTCGTCCGCATTTTCACGCAAAATTACCGAAAAATTATACCTGACCTTATTTCAAAATCTATGTGTAAGGAACAGATTGTATTAGGGTAAAAAGCAATATCTTTAATATTTTGGTTGTAGGAAGACGCCGAAGAAAGTTTGAACTTGGAACTTTGGAATTTTCGAAAAATGAAGGTTTTTAATGAACATGAGACCTGTACTACTCTCTTAAATGTCCTTCACATCCAAGAACAAAATTTAATAAAAAACAATTGAGCCATTTCTTTAAAAATTTGGAAAATGTCCCAGGGGCTTTATGTAAAGTACCCCACCCCCCCGCCAAATTAAAATATCGATTTCAAATTCAAGAAGCAGCCACATCTGTCAGATCGATGGCGGGATATCAATTTTGAAGAAAATCGGCTGAGCGGTTTAGCCGGTTGAGTTGTTCAGACGGACAGGCACAGTCATAGGGACAGTCGTTTTGCCGTCATTCAGTTTTTCGGTATTAAGAAATCACAAAACACGGATCCTGCTTACGACACGTGTTAGAGTAGGATTTTCTCTAAATGTAGGAACTGGATTTATGCACTTTTTCGCTACCAAGGCCTTGTAATAAGAGTTTTTCTGTCGGAAATTCGTCGTTTCTTCGAGCAGTATTACATAACTTTCTCTCTACTCCGCAGCGAGAAAGTAAAAAAATCAGGGAAAAACAGCGTACTTTTGAACATTTAATAAAAACAAAACACCCTACGATATTGCGATTTCCTTCACCCCTCGTCTCTCCTGAAAGGAAGCCTTTTACACGAAAAATAGGGCATAATTGAATTGACAGACAGACGTGGATACTTGGCAAATCTAGCGATGAGCACGGGAAAATGCCACGCCTAGCCACTTACCAATGGCGAGTGAGATGCAAACTTCTGTCTGCAATGTTTTTGGGCGATTCCTAAACGAATCAGTGCCGCCTTTTCCTGCATCTTGGATCGTGTCGCAGGGAATGAAGATTATCGCGAGGGCTGCTGGGCGACTTGTCAGTTGACGCTGCTTATTAACGCGGAAAGCGCGTGCGTTTTGCGATCCCGGAGGAATCCGCGAGATAAAAAAAAATTTTTGAGAATTTACAGACTGACTGCAGATATGGACGAGAAAAGGTTATTACAAATAAAATATTAAGGTCAAGGTACTGGAAACCATAAGGGTAAACAACATTCTCAAACAAAACTGTACAAGAAATAATCAAGCCTGGGCCTGGGGTTCAAATTCTCCCGTGCGTCCCCTCCCGGATCAACGTGTTTAGAACGGCAGTGACACACCTGACGTATGTACGAAGTAAGAGTGTGCAAGTTTCTAATCTGGCCAGCGTGACACATATCCATCAAACTATCTGCGCAGACTTCATACCATATTCTTTCCATTTCACGTACCGTCGAAACGGTTTTAACACCAGAATTCAAATTCTAGCCCAATGCAATATTTTTCCTCTCGGTCATACTTGACCTCTCTGTGCAATGAATAGTTGACGAAAAGTAAAAATTAAATCCTTTTCAATAAAATAGTTAATTGAAAGCGGAATATCCTGTATCCAGTGATTATATTGAACAGTGTGAATGAATGTTGAAACACTTTTCCAACTAATGCAGCCACATTATTTTCTGCAGACGTACTACATCATACTAAGGTGAAGGATACCTAGTCTATCGGGATCTAGTGACTCTATTTGTTCTGTGTACTGTATACTTTGTCGACTACATGACCTCAAAACTTCTCAATTAATTCGAAGAAATATTGTAGCATTATTTACCCAAATGTAGATAAAAATTAAATAAATATGATTGAACAGAGTTTCAGAAGTCATATCTTCAACAATAAAAATATCATGAATATTATGTGGTTTTCCACCTTTTTTTCTTTTTAGTTCTAAAATAAACTCGATTATTTACATAATGTCGACACGAAGAATTGCATGACGACAGAGGGTTAAAAACCCACCCGAAGAAAAGTACGGCCCTCGCACCAAACATTTCCCAAACTAGAAAATTACGTTGGGTCAAGTATCCTTATAGGTGAATTATCCCTTGTTACCCAACATTAAAATATTTTTTATTTACTTATAACAATACTTTTACATAAGGGCGTGTTTAGTGATTAGAGATTACATTTGATGTAATTATAAGATTTATTCGCGCAAGGACAGACTATCAACAAATATTTCTATAACTAATGTACTCATTACATTTCTTTTATTGCTTACAATGTCCTTTGCACAACAAAGAAAATAATTGAATCCAATAAACCAGGACGATTCCTCTCTGCATCTCTTGATTTCCTTGTGCTTTGGGTATTTTTTTTTTACTTTCTCTTACATTCATCAAGCATCAATGACGGAGAGTAAATTGTTCAGTAATTGCCATACTCTTTGTTAATTAATTTGATAATTAAAGGTAGAAGGAAAATAGTATTTTCCATGTACGAAGTATAAGAAACAACAAATATTTTGATCATTGTACATCCAAGTGATTAAAAGTTTTCGAGAATATACATTTGTATAATCAACTATTCACGCGACAAATCTCTTAAAAATATCAGAATTTGTAATTGCTTTTGAATATTTCTATTTTTTATGCATCTCGTCTTTAGGACACAATGAGCAAACTGCTCCATTTCTCTAAAATTCTAGTGAGTACAGACTGTCAAACGTCTTAAGTGTTTTGATCGATGCAATTCATTAGTTTCAATCATGTCCCGAAAGGTGTATTTATTTCTGTGTGTATTAGTAACTCGCAATGAAATTACGTCACTTTCAGTAATACTATCATTCTTCAGTACATCACATACCTTAAGCAATATCTACGCGTGTATATGAGTCGTTGTCTGTCCTAATGTGTGGCGTTTTGATTTGTGTATTTACGCACGAATGAGAGCATACACACTCACGTTGACTTATTATTCTCAATGACTGAGAAAGGTCTTCAAACAGATTCAGCAACATCCAGTCTCTTTCGTGGGCGAAGAAATGATAAATGAGCGGGCGCGAATATATCCGGTAGGTATTTTTCCAGTCAGTAGCATCATAAGGACATTGGCGGATGAATATTGATCACTTGATTTGAGGTGAGATATTTGTCAGATATTTTGAAGGATTTATAAATTTCAAATTGAGCTAGCAGTTAATTACATTGCATTGATATTGTATTGTAGGTTGAATAAGTGAAAACCTGTGCACGACACAAATCATTTACTTACTCAATTCGTTCGGCCAGCTGCTTTCGTCTTGGTTTTGAAACGAATTTGACTTAGGCAGCCGACCTCACACGAGAGCCCAATCCTGTATCCACCTCGAAAACTCCACCTCCACATTGACTACAATCCTAGTTATTCATATATACAAAAAAGTAACAAGTCTGTGAAGACTCCGGGCCCCAGCGCACAATAAAAAGAAGCCAAAAGTATTTTCACAGCAAGTGAAAATCGTATCTCGTGGATATCAAAAATATTGTTTTCGGCGTTGTCCTGTTTCAAGGGAAATGCTCGACGTTTCCCTGCGCAGGGTCAGGGGCCGATGATGGAGGCGTTGCAGAGATCGGGAGAAGTCGACGAAGAGTTGCGATCGGAGCTCTCGTTCAGGTTGTTGAACTGTACCAGCACGATTTCGTAGGTGACGATAGTTCCGGCTACCTGCAACAGTTCAAATGTGCTCTGGATAACGTTTATTCTCACTATTCTTTTGTTTTCGTAATAGTATTTGTCTACAATTTAAAATTTACTTTTTAGTAAATCATGGTGTTGGTATAATTTATTATTCTCATAACTTGTCCTACTAGAGTTCTCATACACTTGTGTTAATTAAAATGTAATAAAAATGCTAATCCTGCCCTTTGAACATAAGAAGTAAATACTGTTAAATAATATTATTCTATCATATGAAATGTGTGTTGGTTTGATTTTTTCAGAAAATTTCAATAACAATCAATGTGTAAAAATACATCTGATAAATTGGTAGTAGAATAATCAAAAAACGTTATTAACTAAGCTATCTTCCTTAGTAAGGAGCTTGATCAATGGATCTTGAGTCAGTTTCAGTTAATCGGATGCTAAAATTGACTAACCATTTAAGTTAAAAAAATATGGTCTTAAATTAAAAGTTACTGTTACAAATATTTGAAGAAAGTGTTAATCGAATGTTAATAGTTTCAGTTCCAATTCGCGGTTTCAAGCACCCATACGTCTTTGTTCCCTTTCTTCCGCATAGGAATTAGTTCATGCGCTTCTTAAGTGCGCCTCAACTTTTAAACGTTATCACCACTCTCTATCAGCAAAACCATGTTTTCTGGTCTTAATGGATCACGAACTCCACGTGAACAATGAAGTCTGTTTGTAAAAGAAAAAAATGAAGTTAAAGAATGACGTATTACAAAGCAGAAACTCGTGAATAAACTTTTCTTTAACAACGATCTACATTATGTGAGTAAATACCTCAGTACTTTATACAAACAGTAGTGTACTCGACATTTTCTAAAAAGACAATAGAAAAATATGTATTCAATAAATAGGACCCATTATGTGGAATAGTCAACCACACACAGAGGAAACATTTTAACTACTTAAATTGACGTTTAAATATGGTATAAAATACTGTATTAATATTTGATAAATAATCTCATGTTTAATTACTAAAACGGCATACACAACTACAGAGAAAAATATTGAAAAATTAGCCATTGTAACGCGACTTTTAAGAATGTCATCCAAAGTATTACTCAGTTCATTCTCAGTATGTGGAGTTGTCAAAAACATTTGTATGGTTTTGCACTTGGAATTTTAAATCTTACTTATATTTTTATTTCTATTTACTTCTTATACATTACAAATTACGTTTTATGAAAATTCACTTTTCATTATTCGCAACTAGTCTGACAAATACTATTAAGAAATAATTTAATAGTAATGCGAAACACTTTAATTTATTTTCGAGTGTTTCCTGTATATTTAAATCCAAAGAAATCAATCGTAGTACTTCAGAATGGTGTTCGTTAAGCAGTACGTTGATATCTCACCGTAAGCAAGAGCGTGCGCGTCACTGCAAAGAAATTGAGTCCTGTAAGTACGATGTCATCTGTTACCACTTGCGTGAGAAATCGTTGTACCTGAAAAAGAGATATCAATATCAGTTTTATATCAGTTTTCTTTTCATTCGAAGTAGATTTCTAATTTGCAAAGATTCTCACCATCCTATGATAATTGCATTATTCGACGGTTAATATAATTCCGGTGAAAACCTCGAAGTTTTAAAACGGTATTAAATGATTTGGACATTAAAAAATGTAAACCGATTTTAAATAGGAATCTTTTGAGAACATTTGGAAAATGAATAGAGGTGAACTACTGAACAATGTCTTCCTCCCCTTGTCACGACCACTTTAAAAAACGTGTATTGATTTTCAGAAACCCATGAAAGAGTTCAATTACTTCTACAACACACAATAGGAAAATTGTCTAAAATATCAATAAATAGGAAGTGCCCCAGATATTTTTGTCTGAGTCTTGAGTGGCTTTCAGGCAATTAAGTAAAGTTTTGTTTCCAATCGTTTATTTCATTTACAACCTAGGCTTATTGAATGTAGTAGTGCTATGTGACATAGGGTATTTTGAAATTATTTGTATACTTTTTGCAAATGTTAAATCTATGGTAGTGTTTTCTCCTTGCAAATTCATAAACTAGTTCAAGTTGAAATAACTTCTGAAAGTATTAATGTAGAAATTTAACATATTTTCATCACTACTGTGGAAATCGCTCATCAGTACAAGCGATATGCCACTGCTAGACCAAATGTCTCCGCATCTTCTGTTCTTTGGAGGTTGATGCCATTATAAAGGGGTTATTCAAGTTGTTGGTATAGAAAAGACAAATTGTTTCACGACTGCTGGATACACTCAACATTGTTACGGAAATTTATAGAATACTTACTCGGAATACCTAGAAATCTAGCTGTTTGATATGATCTGGGAAAAATGAACAAGTTTTGAATGAGGAGATATACTATGTACAACATTACATCGCTTCCACCTCATATCTCGTTTCAATCACATATGGAGTGCGAGAGAAGTGGGACAAGTTGTACATAGGGTCTCATAACCGGCTCTTAGTGAGAATAATAAAGTGGGGCTTCTTTAATAATTTGTCTGCCTGTCGCTCCTCCAGACTCGTTAAGGTTGCTTCTGAATGTCAACAAGGCTCTTCTGGGAGACTGTTACCATTTTCAAAATTATATGACCGAGAAATATAGGGCTGCGATGTCGGAGAGGATACAAATGAGAAACATAATAAATGAATAATTCTATTCCTTGGATTCCATGATACTCAGAAGCTGGATGGAACCCAATCAATAAATGCGTCATGTCTACACTAGGCGCGCGGTCGGTGGCCACCACTACCAACTGTGCGAAAGGGAATATTTCCACGAAGCCGTCAGTGAATGCGTGTGCAAACTCGGTGGAAAAACATGTTCAAGAAACCGTATAACATCCTGCCGAAAATGAGACAAAACTGACAGAATTTACAGATAATAAGCATGTGTAACGAGACCAAATAAGTGCCACGTAACTTAAATTTAACTAAATAATGCGCTACTGCATGCCCTTTTATCATTGTAACATTATAGGACCGATTGTGTCTCAAGTATTGAGGTGCACGAATTTGTTTCGTATTCCATCACCAACGATCCACACATAACCCACATCGGATGTTCCGAAGTTCTTTGAACTTGCTTACATTTCCAGTATTTGCTGTACTACCGCGTGTTATTTTTTTAGAATGGCCCTTGCATTTTTGAACTTATTCTTATTGAATGTTTAAACACGGTCTTAGCAATTCTGGCCATACTTGACCCTCATGTGTCGCGACATTTTCAAAAATCACAAAAAGTTCAAACCTTTTCAAATTAATACCAACGTACCTTTTTGAATTTTTGAGATACGCCCTTGAATTTTAGAAAGGGTTAATTTTCATAAATGCTTCTTTAAAACTCCACTATGTCCACTCCATTAGAATGATTGTCTCTGAGATATGATCGCGTTTAAGAAACAGGCGTCGAATCCATAAAGTCAAAAATCGTGGACCCAATTTGCGAGTGTACATGTAACATCAATCGTCACGAATGCTACAGCGATGATGGCACTAACTCGAATTCCTACTCTTTAAAACGGTCTTAATTTTCCCCCTTAAAATATTATGGGGACATCATCTATTCTTAACCGAGTTATTGAAGTTTGAAATAAAATCAACAGACATTGTCGCTCATTTGAGTGTAATTTCTTATCCACAATTGGCATCGATTTTAAAGACGCTTTGAAGTGAAAATGCTATCCAATTGTTAAAGGCCAGTACGGTCCGTTTAAAATAAGTACGCGTTTGTCATTTGAAAGGTATTGTGACATTCCTATCTATTAAACACCAAACTGAGTGTTCTGGTTGCCGTGTACAGCGTAATTTATATATGTCGCTATCAAAGTAGTATTTTCTTCTTGTCAAAGCAAGTTTTATTGTCTTTTTACATTTCGAGTACTCCAAGTAAGTTTAACGTCATGGAGATTTCTGCGTAACTCAGCGATAGCAAATCAATGTAGTTAACCCACCGAAATTATTAACATCCCACAGATAACAGGTGATGGACACATTTTTTGACAATTAAAATTATCTTATCAAAATTTCGAAATAAACATTTTGAAAGTACAAAACCTTGTATAACCTTGATGTCCTGTCGCAAGGTGAGTCTGAATTCTCTGTTTAAACCATTTGTTGCCATGAGATTAAGTGCATGTTTATTTACGTGAAATATACTGAGTTCTGATTTAACCTGCGATCCTTAAAACCAAATGGGTTTTACAAAGATTGCCCAATTATTTTCTGTTGAAATCAAAAAAAGCTAAGTGAGTTTTTGTAATTGTAAGTATTCATACACAATTTCTATTTGACCCTCATTTCAACCATTTAATCTCAATCTCAAGTTTTAATTTCTTATTATTTTAACCACGATTACTCATCCACATACTTTGCTTACTCGCCTAATATCAAAGGAAGAAGTAGGGTAACGATAGTCGCCAAATTGGCTACGTGTGCGATATACACGCCTTTGAGTCACGCTGCTGGCGAGGGCTGAGCAGCGCGGGCTGGCCCGGGGGTTCCCAGGTGACCAGGAAAATCCGCGCCATGCAGCGCCTTCACCTGTTCGGAACAGGTCGCTCGCCGCAATGACGCGACCGCGCGCGCTCGGCAGGCACTGCGGGAGAGTGGAAGAGGGAGCGGGTTGCGAAAGCGGCGCAGGCGCGCGGGACGACGGAGCGACGCTCGCGAAAGAGAGAGAGAGGAAAACGAAACAAGGAATGAAAGCACTAGTCAAAGAGAAATAAAAGGAACAAAAAACAGGAAATTTAACGTCAACAATATGCGCAAGAGAAGGAAGGAGCAACTGTCGACTTCAGCCTAAGCAATCTACTCAGCAACTTATGTAATGTCTCTGAGAATAAATGTTACCAACTTCTAGAGTGCGTGAAGAGTCGAGAAAGATAACTTTCTGTCAAAGAAATTGTGACGGGAAATTTCATAAAACGGAGCTACCGTGTGGTTTTTAACGCTGATTAAGTAACTTCTTACTCAAAGGTATTCTGTCGATCACGTTCTGAAACGGTCATGGTGATTACATGTGTCTGCCGTAACATCTGTGTATATGGATTTGCCTAATAATTAAGAGCAAATAAACATGTCTTATTCAGTTCTATGAAAATTTCCAATTTATGTTCGTTGGCAAAAAGTGATCATTTTCGACTCTTCTGCAAGCTCTAGACTTCTTAACATTTATTCTGAGACCCCCTTTAGATACATCATTATCCTGATGAACAGCAACATGTTTATAGAAATTCGCGGAGCTAATATGGCAGCAATTTTTACCCTACTGCTTTCCTGGTTTACATTTATTTACGAGGGATTAGAAACCTGACTAGTGCTAGAAAGTTTGATCCGTCTGTAGCACCACTAGTTTAAAAATAATTAGTTTTCACGCGTGAAATAAAGAAAATTTTTAAATTTTTTTTTCAAAAATGGTTCCATTTTTTTCTTTTACATTTTTAAATGGATAGAGTTAAAAACACTAAATAACAATACGTTAACGTTATATGGAAGATATCTTGTGATTTTCAGAATTACACAAGTTGATGTTCAAGTACTTTATAACGTTCATGCGAGTAAGTACGTACTGTTGTGCACCACTAGTTTTATTACGTGAAGTGACGTCACCTATATTACCATGCACACTATATAAAGTGGAAGAAAATAGAATTAATATTAATGTTGTAAAACAACTCAAGCGATTCAGAGTCGTGTTCTAATCCTTTCCCGTTTTGTATGTGTTTTAGAGAAACTAGGAAGAATATGAGAGAGAACAAGCAGAAATATAGAACGTTGATAGCGCGCGTCATATTTGATGAAGATAAAATAATACATCAACATTACTTAAAAATTCAGGATAATGAAGAGTTAATAATGAATATGGCATGACATAATTGCTTTCTTGTGTTATAGAGTTTCTTGAAATATTGGTGTTAAAGAGATGGCATTTGAGCACAGAAAAGTGACCACAGACAGCATTCTAACAAACATTTAGAATTCTTAGAACATTTAGAAACATTTAGAATGCCATAAATCTCAAGAATATATTGATCAACTTTTGATGTATTGTTGGTTGATAGATTGTTTGATGTTCCCGGGTTCGAAGTGCTACGGTTATTAGGCCCGTTTATGTCATGAATATTTTTAACACCGAAACTCGATGTGTTCCTCCCCAGTCGGCTGTTCCGTAGAATTCTGGTCCGGACGGGACAAAATTTGACCCAGCTATACGTACAGTTAGACTTGAAAGTCCATCGCAGCAGAAATAACGGCAATGTTGTACCTGACCTGAAGTGAGTCGTTTGAAGTATTGTTGGCATCATATAAATAATTCAAATTGATGCCCTCGTTTCATTAAATCATTAAGCAAACGCGAGCTCAAGCTGACTAGAGTGCTACCTTGTGCATGTTTCTTGAGAGGAGGGAAGAAATCAATTGCATAACCTTCTTTGAATGAAATATAACAAATTAGAATAAATGCGATAACGTGCGATGGGATAAGAGAGAGGGGGAGATACAGATCTGTAGGTTTTGTTTGACCCTTCATAAGGGCTTCCGCCGGCTCGCTGTATAGGTTTACACCTCGCTATTCTCTGATCACAAGGCCCTTTCCGCACTGTAACTTGTATGGGTGAAGAGGTCCCAGAGACTTTAAAGAAACGTCACTAGATGCCAGTTTAAAGGAGGAACTATTCCTTCTGAGCCGTAATGCTCCATTAAAAAATATTTTTTTCTGCTGGCCGCAGGAGTGCTGAGAGACACTGGCAATTACTATTGGAAAACAGCTGAGGCTGCCAGTCACTTTCTCCTGACAGCATTCCGACTGTTTTCGCGTTGCTTAAAAGATGTCATGGTTTAAAACCAGATTTAAGTCAATAACCTCGCATCTACGTACTTATTTTCTTCGAGCATCCAACGAAATATTTTATTTGGCAATTACATTCAAAAGAAGAAAATGCGCGAGAAGGCGTTTCACCCCTTCCCTTCCCCGAGTAACCGCCGCAGCTAGGAGCGCGAGTGCGGCAGGGGCGTGGGGGCGCACCTCGACGCCGTAGCTCTCTGGCGGGACGTCGTACAGCAGCTGCCGCGGGCCCCGCGACGACTCGAAGACGTCGGCGGCGCACAGCGAGACGGCGCACGTCTTGAGCAGCAGGTAGCCGAAGGACCAGTAGAAGTAGAAGTTGCCCACGGCACCCTCCGACTCCTCCGACGGCCTACGCAGTGAGCACCCACGCCGCGCGATATAGGCTAGCAGTTCTGTATATATTTTTTATATTTATTTATTTATTTATTTATTTATTTATTTATTTATTATTTTTTATTTATTTATTATTTATTTATTATATTATTTATTTATTTATTTATTTATTTATTTTTATTTATTTTATTATTTTTATTTATTTATTTATTTATTTATTTTATTATATTATTTATTTATTTATTTATTTATGTTATTTATTTATTTATTTATTATATTTATTTTATTTATTTATTTATTATTTATTTTAAATTTACTTGTTTTATTATTTATTTATTTATTATTATTTATTTATTTTATTTGTTGTTTGTTTGTTTTTTGTTTGTTTGTTGGTTTAAAACGTGATTGAATTTCGGCTTTAATTCACTTTTGTTAAAATGTGTCTTTATTCCTCCCGGGATTAAAGTTGCATTTCAATCCCTCCGGGATTAAAGTAACCACAGAGAGTAATTAAAGTAATCCTTCCGGATTAATCCACTACAATCTGAGAAAGAAAGAGTTTGGATAGGATATACGGTTAGTTCAGAGGATATACGGAGCATTCAGGTTAGTTCAGTGGATACACGGTTAGTCTGAGGATACATATACGTAAGTAAAAAACTAACCTTCAACAATAAATACCGATTCTCACAAGCTTTTTTAACAAACCTGTAAAATTCAAGCTTTGCTCATCCCAATAAATTTACAATATGTAAAAATATCAATATCAATTGACGTGTTAAACACGTATCGTCATCAATTTTTCCTAGAGAAATACGTACGTACTTACCTGGAGATACCAACATTTTCCTTGTCACGTAATGCTGCCCTCACCATTGATTACTATTTAGGAAACGGTGAAGACATGTACGTTTTGGTTTATTGTTAAAATTTTCAAATACAATTTATTATGAAACAGTTCTTATTTTTCTGTCATTTCATCATTTTCAAAAACATTCATACTCTTTTTCGTAGATATGTCTCGATTTTTTAGAGAATAATTTTGAAATATCACGTTCTGCTTCTTTCATGATACTATTAGGAATTTGAAGATATTCATATTCACAGTCTAAATAGTATGTATCGTTTGTCTAATTAAAAATTCTGCCATTCTTCCGTGCAGAATTCAAACTATTTGAAATTCCAGCCATCTATAGGAGACCTCCAGAAGGAAGGCCCGCTGATAACTGTACTGCTTCGTCATTCGTGGCATAGGTGTGCAAGCGAAAAGATATTGTTTAAAAATAAAGTTTTGTGTATGACACGGGGTTTACCTGAATTTCATTCACTCGAGAGAATTATGTCCCTCTGGACACAACTGTTCTTCCTCGTGAAGAAAGCTCTACCCGTTTTATAAATAACTATTATTGATTGATTGATAAGGTTTATGAGGTTGAAATAATTTTTTCTTTATCCAAAAGAACAGCATTTGATAAACCAAATTAATTTACATTTTCCATTGTGAAAATTTGCCTTTTATTGTAATTAGAAATTTTACTTTCCCGTCACATTTCTCTGTTCTCTAATGATCCTTTTTTGAATTCTTATAACATCACCCTAATGCATTACTAATTAGGTCCATGTTAATTTTGGTCTTTTCCCTTCACAACCTTTCCCGTACGTTTCTCGCAGATTTGGTGACACTTGCTTTTCACATATCCATGATATTCCACTTGGTTTTTCTGTGTATAATTTAAATACGAAATTTTGCTTTCATCATATCTCAAATTTTCTCATTTTTAATTTTGTCTAATTTTGAAATTATTTGCCAATTGTCTCGAAAATATTATTGTTGCGAATAATGTGGAATTGTTTTAAATGCCAAATTTGTGTTCCATGATTATAACACGTTTAATTTACATGATCCTATATTACAGTATATAGTTATTTACTTGGGTCTCGTTTACATAAAAAAGTGAACGCTCACCGGATTCCGGAAAAGTGATCTTTCGAATTACGGAACATATTAAATATGCAATGCCTGAATTTTTTAAATAATTTGATGTTTTCATATCCTACAACACCAAGTTCATTAATTATTTTTTCTGAAATTTAAATAAAATGTACTAGGTACATCTTTGTTGGAGTAATGTAAGTTATTTATAAAACACATTATTTTTTAAATTGAATGAACATGTTACTTAATTCGTGACTCATCATCGATGATTTAGACGTAAAATTTCCTATAAAATGTATTTTCATGCTGATCGCAGTCCTGGGGTTGATATACGATTGGCAGAAAAAAGAACGAACAAAAGCAGAAGAGTTAGTAGTTCATTTTCTGGTCTGGAACCCCTCTGATTCACAGAAAATGCATATAAGTTCACGGAATCCACAGTTTCCGCAACTCAAGTTCGCGGAAAAATTTCTTTGAGTACTTCCGTTTCCTCTGCCACTCCATCGTTTTTTCGTTCCCGTTTCACCAATGCACTATCATTATTATTCGTTGATTTATTCTCTTTTAATAGTTGAAAACATTTAAAATTTGAACTTATTAGGTAAATATATTATTGAAAAAGTCTGCATGAACGTCATGAAAACAAACAATTTACAACCTAATGAACATGACAAAAATATGACAAAGTACGAACATTTTGTTTTGCAACTAAAGGTAAAACTATAATTTTACTATAATTTTTTCAACAAAAGCCCGTTTTATTGTCATATATTGTCCTTTTTGTATCTGAACGTTTGGCTGATTTTACTGAATCAAGAATATGAAATACTTAGTTTTGTATTTATTTTGTATTTTGATAATAATTCATCACGTTTATTTTGTTCTTAATATTTATTGAAATGACGAAGATAGATTCAATTAAATTTACTGCGAACGTTTACGATTCAGTTATTGTTCATTGTAAATTGGTATTTCCTTTGAACCAAAATGTTCTATCTCTATCTTTATTTTGTTAAACTTTTTTCCAGATGTCTTTGGGTATTTGAGATGTTATCTTTAGAATATTATTCTCGAATTAATATCTAGGGGTGTTAGCATTGTTTAGATCTACATTGTCACAAATCAGGTGATGTTGACTTAACAATTTGAATCGCACTGTTATATCCTTGAAAATTTAGTGTGAACTCTCTGTGGCAATCATTGCATTCTAATAGTATCAATGCATACGCACATAAATATTCATAATTAACATTTTTGAAGAAATTTCCATACTAATAAAAACCTGAATATTTAACTGTTATTAATATTCTGAAGATTTTTCCATTAAGAGCTTCTTGTATAACAAATATCTTCTTTCATTATATTCTCTTTTGAGAATATACAATATACTGTTATACTGAAGTTTAATTTTAGTAAATGAATCTTTCTTTCCACTATTTCGTAAAATTGTTTGAAGCTCCCCACACACAAACTATGATACTTCATAAATTGACTAATATCCGGCCCTAAGTTAGTTTGCCTCTTCCTTGCAGCTGAACATAATGTCTACGCTTGTTTGCTGTCACTCTTACTTGACTCTTACACCTCCGCAAATGGTCTGGGCAGTCTGTCAGACGACCACATCGACATTTATGATTCATCCTAAATTAGACAATGATTCATACGTACATGTTCTTAAGTTTGCTTCTGAGGCGAAACGACTCTAGGAGAGGCGCAATTTGTAACGTGGGTGATTCTTTCTTAAGAGGCGGTCCTTGTTTATATAACCCTACATTAATATATTAGATCGACATGACACAAGCTTTATCTGTGACACATTTATTCATTCAATGTACAGTGTCTCAAAAAATATAATTATTATACATAATGCTGATACTCTGTAAATTATAAGGCCAAATGTAATAAGATAATTCATAAGGTAAATAATTATATGTTCTTGAGAGACGACTTCTGATTTTCGGAACTCTTTTCTAATATTCAGAAAAAATATAAATTAAGTACAAACAAACAAATAGCATTTGAAAGTATTAGGAGACATTTTGCCCAAAAATACCAAACACACATGATTTATATAGAAACTTTACATGTTTTTATAATGTATTTAGACAAATAATAAAGCATATTTTTTCGTGTATCCACTAGGTGTCAATTAAGTTTTAATTTATTTTGAGAATTCAAAGATTATGATACAGACGTGTTAATTACTGATGAATATTTTTGTTTGTACTCTGTTTAACTGATTCAGCATTTCAACTGTTTTGATGGTAATACGATATAGAAAATATATTATTGCTATTAAATTAGTTGAATTTGCAGTATGCCTCCCCACATTTTACCTATACAAAATAGAGATCTTAGAATTTATCTAGTGAGAAAACAATATTATCCAAATGTTGTAGTATAATCGTGTTTATATAACCATAATAATTTGCATAAAAAGCAGCAAAAACCGAAGTATGTCTGATTTCCCAAAAGTTTTATTTTTCTTTTTACTGATAAAAAATACAGAAATGTGGATTGGCACTATGTTGTCGCGACCTATTAGATTATTTTAATATATTAATGAAAGAAGAAACTTTACCGAGCCATATCCTGCGTTTTTAATAATATATTTTATGCTTCTGGCCTACATGTGACTTACATATCTAAATGGAATTTCTGAGTTGCATAATGAAAGGACAGGGCACGTGGCCGCCCTAAAAGTTTGAAAGGGGACCAATAGCTTTACGTAATAAAATTTTGTATGTCCGTAAGTATGCTCAATTCCTGAATTTCCGCTTTTGTAACATGACAATTTGTGAAATTGTTATTCGATATCCGGGGAAGAGTCTCTTCAGACCATTAATAGTAGTATTTGTCTCATTGTATATACTTTATTAATTTACTAGTAAATATGTCATAATGAAATCAGAAATGTTTAATGGAAGATTGACTTTAGAAATATTTTTTAGCCCTCCACTCGCCTCCCCACTTGTTTCAGACGTATGTGCACACGTCTGTGAAGTTATTCGTATGTACTCGTATTCTGAGCCTACGTCTCCAAGAAACGAAATCCTACAGTAGTGTTCAACGCTTGCAG